AAAAAGCTACTGTATACAAACACTCCAGGGTTGAGGTCCAGGTAGTATGGCAGGTGCCAGACCAAATCCAGGGGTAAATAGGGTAGCCAACTACAAAGGAGGGGTGGGGGGGAAGGAAAGGAAAAAGTGTGGTGGGGGAATAAGGCACTGACCCACCCAAGGGGAGGGTATTGTTTGTCTCCACAGGGAAAGAGGGACCAGACTTAAATAGTGTTCCAAAAAAATACAGTGTTCCAGGATGCCAATGCAGCGTGCCGGCAAGGAGTGGGGAGCCAGTGGAGGGGCCTGAGAGCTCGGCCCCCATACCAGCTATGTGGACAACTGCCCCTCCCCCCAGAAGAATTCACTTTAGAGGATGACACTGAAGCTGCAGCTAGGGGAGAGGGACATATCTGATCAGAGCACATGGGAGTAAATGAATGGGGAGGAAGAGAGATTGGAGCACATCCTGGTCTGGAGGACAATATCCCCGCTCCAAACAGCCAATGAACAGAGTGGACCATATGGCTGATCTCACTATGAGACACGATGTCCCTCGCTGACCCATGGTCCTACAGGGGGCAACACTGGCCTGATCTGACCCTGCGACACCGAGGCAAAACACTAAAGGCATGTGGCAGAGCAATGCGGGGAGCAGAGCAGGGAGCTCCCGAGGAATGTAAAGGATAGGCTTTGGGGCCAGAGCGTGGCACCCCATTGGACTTGGAGGACATGCCTAGAGGTCAAAAATCATACCTGATCTATTTACAGGTTTTTCTTTGTTTTTTAAATTTTTTCTTTTAATTAATGTCTTCTTCTCTGGGTCATTGGTTTTCTTTTTTGTTGTCATCGTGTTCTCTTTTGTCAGTCTTGCTATGCCTTGTTTTTTGATGCATATTATTATCTCTGCAGATCTATCTAGATATGCTAGATGAAGAGTCTGGAGGAGAAAACAGTACCTATAGTTCCAGGGGGACATGGGAGAAGGGGAGGTGGGGGAAAGGAGGTAGTGTTGACCAACCCAGGGATAGGGGAGCAACAGGTGATCTAAAATTAGTGGCAAGGAGGGTGTGAGAGGCCTGGTAGGGTTCAGCAAGTGCAATGTAACTGAGCTAAATTACTGAAACCCAAATGAAGGCTGAGCATGATAGTGGGACAAGAGGAAAGTAAAAGGAAATAGAGGAAAGAACTAGGAGGCAAAAGGTATTTATAGAGGTCTAAATACAGGCATCTACATATGTAAATATATTTGTATAGGATGGTGGGGAAATAGATATACATGTATATATTTAGAGAGTTAGTATTAAGACAGCAGATGGACACTGGACCTCCACTCAAGTACTTCCTCAATGCAAGAACACGTTGTTCTATTAAATTGGCATTCCATGATACACACCTTCCCGACATGATTGCTGAAGACAAATGGGTGCATAAGCAAATGTGAAGAAAGCTGATGGTGCCCGGCTATCAAAAGATATCACGTCTGGGGTCTTAAGGCTTGCAGGTAAACAAGCAACCATCTAGCTCAGAAGCAACAAAGCCCCCATAGAAGCACACCAGTCTGTGTGACCGTGACATGTAGAAGGGACCAGGTATAAGGCATCAAAGAACAAAAAATCATATCAGTGGGTACCCACCTTCCTGATGATCACTGAAGACAAGTGTATGCATAAGCAAATGTGGT